AACGGTTCTCGAAACAACCTAACTCACGGCTCAGAAAAACACAAAGTGGCACTGTATCTTCCCGACCTGGCGGCACACATTCGGATCCGCTTTCGTTTTTGGGCCAGGGGTCGGCCCCTTTTCCGCGCAGCCGGTTACCAACACGGGCACGCCGTCGGTTTATTTCAGCCTCCTGATGAGACGGTGAGACTCGCGAGAAGCTCACTCACGACAAAACAGTCTGTCACAACCCCCCTCATTTGTTGTCTTCTTCTCCCTCTCTACCTATGATTCAATATATCAGATCTTAAGGTGGTCAGAAACTATACTATAGTTGACCTTCACCAAATGGTACATAAAGGAGAGAAAAAAAGAAAGAACAGCCGAGTCAGGACTTGACTGCATTCAGCAAATGCATTCTTTTGCGGACAAGATAGATCAGTGATGCTTACGCCTTGGTTTTGGGGGAAAGATGGCAGAGGACAGTTCGGCTATGTTGTCGTTCCAGGAGATGGAAATTGTCGAGTTAAAAAAAAAAAAAAAAAAAAAAAAAAGTTGAGCAATAACTTATAAGAAACCCCGCTCACAGTAAATTAAATAACAAACTTCTATGCCCTGCTCAGCTCAGAGTCAACCCGGTCAACGTATAGTCAACGTATAGTCAATAGATAGTCAACATATAGTCAATGGATAGTCAACGTATAGTCAACGAACAATCAACGAACAGTTAACGAATAGTCAACGAACAGTCAAATGAATAGTCAACGAATAATCAAAGAATAGTCAAAGAATAGTCAACAAAAAATCAACGAAAAATCAACGTATAGTCAACAAATAGTCAACGGATAGTCAAAGAGTAGTCGACGAACAGTTTTCCTTGCCCTCCTCAGCTCCAACACACTTCAAATTCTGACCTGCACGTTTTGCCAGCGGATCGAAATTGACAACCAATAAGCGAAATTAACTATGCAAGAAATGAAAGGGAGTCCTGAGAACAAGGCATCTTCACAAAAAAACAGAAAATGAGAATTCAAAGAATAAATTTCATTGTCGAACTATCAAGCAATGACCCAGCAGTTGGGGGAGAGGCACGGTCCTAGAGGCTTGGCAAACGAGCCGGGAGGGCTGAGATAGTAGGCTTCTTGACTGAGCTGCTGAATGGTATTAGTTAGCCTGGCTCAGGTTTGTGGATCTAGGGCAATTCCAAGCTTTTAGGGGGAACAGTTCTCAATTGGCGGCTAGGGGTAACTGAGCCGCCAATCTGGACTCCACCAGATCCAACTGAGCCATGGTGACCTTCAATCGCAGTTGTCCATCT